TTTTGGTGGGAAAGAAATGATTAGTGGCTCGACAACTGATGCACGTTCGCTGCAATAATTTTCCGAACTATTTAAGTTGACACAGAAATGAAACACGAAAGAAGAAGAAGAGGAAAAAGAAAATACCAAAAAATGGAACACACACCACGTGGTAAAAAAAAGCTTAGAAATGAAAATGTTTGTGAGAGTAAAAATATGTAATATTACCTATTCTGACAGCATCGTCGAGTTCGTAATCGGAATCGGAGTCGGAAAATGACATACGTTGGATGATAGCGATTGAATTGAATGCAAAACAGATAATAGCTGACTTCCCAGCCGTCGCACAACAACTACCACGACTGCAGCGAGCGAGAAACTCGTCCTGTTAAACGGCGCGCGCGGCGTAACTCGTACACTCCACGTGCTCGCAGCTCTTTATTCCATCCGTTGACTTCGTAAGCAGAGATTAAAATCAATTCTTTCTTCCAGCTCATCTATCGAACTAGTTGTTAGGGGGGAAACGTCCGCGGCCTTCAGATGCTGGTAGCATCTTCTAGTCACTTTCATCTGCGAGTGAAAGCCCTAAACGAGGTTTAAGATATTAATTCGCGTAATATTGACTATTCGGAAGGCAAATGGTATGATGAGATTGCGTGCTATCTGGAGAACGATTTTGGCATATATTATTAGCTGTGAAAGTCGGTAAAGTCGCGGTCATAGTTCGCGATCTCGCAAGCGATCATGTGCCTGCTAGCGAAGCAGATACGTATCGATCATGCGACCTGCGATCGCCAATCTCAACAGTTCATGAATGATACATATCTGCTCCAAAATCGAACAGAGATATTTGGATACGAGGGTAGTCGGAAGGTAGGAGACGTGTTGATGGAGAGCATCCCCGGAACTTCTTCTCCTGCAAAAGTGGGACCAGCGTACTATAGTAGCGAACCATTGCACCACGATGCCCCTCTTCTACACTTGTAGCGTTTTGACGTACTTAACACATGCAAAATATTCAGTCCAATGCCGTTTC